TGTCTGAAAGTTAGGATAAAGTATATGGGCTTAACATAATAACCGACACTACAATGGAAAGAAAAGTCACTTTTCGATTGATTTACTCATTCTGAGTTTTGTTCAAGATTAATTCCGTTTTGATTCAATGTAATGAGTACTCAATGTATGCGATATTCTTGTATTCCATTGACATGAATTATGCTCAGTATGTGATTTCGCATAACTCTAAGTATTTTTCATATATGTGATTTCATCCTAATCATTGATCAGAAGGGGTGTACAATTAATATATAAATGAGTGTATTTTGTACTAGAATCGTCGTCGTCGACGTGTTTTGTGGTTAATAAATCATCACTTATACCAGTCTTTGTGTTCTGACTTTCGCGTCGTGGGAATTGCAGAGGTCCGTCGTCCCGAGTATAAGTGATAAGCGTTCCCGAAATAGCAATCATCGACGACCAGATACAAAAGGTAGTATTAAAAGAGTCAAGACATTAAGCATTCAAACGACAAGTCATAACACTAACCTATCAAATTCCAATTGGATTTTTCAAGTTATTATATCAAATATCGTTTGCCACAATGATTCACATATTTCCAATGCACTTTCTCATAAATCTGAGGAAAGTATGTTGAATGAATCAAATCATGATCGAAAATCCGATGCAGATTTGATATATATATGTAAAGGGTCTTTGTTGATATTTGAGTGATTTTAATGGGTAAGATCATGAGTCAATTGAAGCTAGACCACCATAGCACTGAACTTCCGTTTCGTGATATTGTGGGACTGTTCAGCGGTCAACTCTCCATTTCAAAACGCTGTCACATGGCTACGTGCATACAGCCACTACCACAGAAGTCCTACTCATTACCTTCTGGCGGCACTAATATTGTTTATCAAATCGAGAAGACGAAAATTGAATGTACGGCACTTGAACCGGGTTGGTGGACACAGAGAGTCCACCTAGAGGAGTTGCAAAACCCTGATTCCGAACCAATGATGCACATGCACTCTAGGATCCTGAGAGAACAAGTGACGTATGAACCAATCTTTGGTCAATGGCTACCTTGGGATTGCATCTCCTGAGGTTACTTCACTGCTTGTGGATCAGACCTTTATGTCGAGGGCTTGGGTTGTTGTTACCTAAGGAAACCATCTTCTTCGGTCTGGGCACCTGGGCAGTATCACAGCTTACACACAATTCAAGTGACTTGTGTAGCGCATATGTATTTCGTAACCTATTGTACCGAGATGAACATGTTCAAATAAAGAACTAAAAACATAAATAAGACCGATGGTAAATAATTAAATATCAGTATAACTGACAAACAATAATTATTGGGAAACATTTTGCACATATCGTATTTTAACATTCACACTGGCTTACTAAACTGCAATTGTATTGCAATCATTTTTTAATAGTTTGAACATAGAACTCTTTACTATAATCAGATAAATGGTATCAACTGAAACTACAATTATAATTATTACTCATTGTTAAGTCTATCGAAGCGTCCAAGTCACCCGATTGAGATACGCGCAAAACCGAACTTTCCAAACAACGATTTGTCCACATTAGCGGTTCTTTATTAAATAATACACAAAATTTAGTTACAAACCTCAACTTCTGAGGTGTCTGGGGCGTTTAAACGCGTCCTTCTAGAATGAAAAGTACAAAGGCTTCGATAGTACAAAGGACAGCTGATAGCTGTGTCTAAATTTGATAACAGTTTACGAGCAACCGAAACCCGAACCAAGAGCAAATAATGTAGAAACTGTTGCGTTTAAACAAATGCACAAAACTGTGGATAACGGCTACAGAGATTAAGATACAGTAATTATAATTATAAATACAATGATAAGTACAATAAACATTAAGGGTATGTGTGAACATTTCAGAATATTACAGTACAACTTGCGTCATAACATGTGTGAAAATTGTTGGGAATACAACTGCTTACTGAATGTAAATAAGTAGTATAAGACAATATACAAGAGAGTAGAAAGGGAACAAGTAGGAACAATGTAAGACAAACTTAACACTCATAAAGAAGAAATACAATGTACTACAATCTCATCTTCTCAAGAATAAAGTGGCCAACTGATTTCTGCATTTTGATGAATATTTGGAATAGAGGTAGAGAAACTTTGGTTATTAAAATTATATTAAGAATACTATGACACTTGATTTTCAGTAGTTCTACAATTAATCTAATCGACGACTCCCGAATAGCACAAAACCCGTATACTGGATCGCACTTCTGAAAACATAACAGATATGCTCGTAACATAACGCTATATTGAACCAATCCGCGCTGAATTGACACATAGCAATTCAAACTGATTAGTTGCACTACTGAACATCAGCAACCGGAAATTATAAACCATTACTGATATATTCGGACTAGTTCGGCAGGTTCTAGAACACAGGTATGCTTAACAGCGTCCGACAATGGTAGTTTTTCTAGACTTAAAGCAGCATTTGACTCTGTAGACCAGGCGGTTATGTGGCAGGTTTCGTCATTAGGAGGAGTACCTCAGAAGTGCATAAACCTTGTGAAGGCTCTTTACTCGAACACTACCAGTCGATTCAGAGCTTATGGCGAACTGTAATCTGATTTTACAACCTCAAGTGGTGTCCGTCACGGCTGTCCACTTTCTCCATTTTTGTTTAACTTCATCATAGACCTATTGATGGGATGAACATTCTCGTCTACTGAATTCTCGGGTATTGATCTCCTTCCAGGAGATCCATTCATCGACTTAAAATACGAAGATGACACAGTCCTGTTTGGTGAAGACGCTGATAAAATGCAGTCTTTTAGTTGCACTGAGCAACAATGCCAGGATGCTTAGAATGTGTTTCTCCCACTCTAAATGCAAGTTGTTGCTTCAGGACCGGCCCGCGTCAACACCTGAATTATAGATAGGAAGTGAAGTAGTCAAACGTGTCGACAACTTCACTTATCTTGAAAGTCTGGTCAACCCTAATGCGTTGGTGTCTGACGAAATCTCTACACAGATTCAAAAACCTCATTTCGCTTTTGCCAACGTACGTCACCTATGGCGAAGGTGAGATATCCATCTGTCAATAAAGAGACAAGTACACTCTATATCAGTTCGTTTTGTTCTACTTTGCGGCTGTAAAACATGGCCACTAAGAGTAGAAGATACTCGTAAGATACTAGTATTTGACCACAAATGGCTCAGAAATATTGCTGGCGTCTGCTGGGATCACCGGGTAAGTAATAATAAGGTTAGATGCAGGGTATTAGGGTATGATGATGGTAAATCAGTCGATAAGATTGTGAATCTTCATCGACCGAGATGGTTGGGCCACGTGTTACGTTTGCCCGAACACCGATTACCACGACGTGCAATGCTAACCGGTGCTGGAGGTGGTTGGAAGAAAGTTAGGGGCGACCAAACCAAGACGTGGCATCAGTGCTTGAAGTCGCTAACTTCTAGTCTGAGCCATGTTGGTAGATACTACTAGACTACTTGGTTGGGGTCCGCGTGGCTGTCGTAACCAATGGTTGGAGACTCTTGGTGACATGGCTGACTATCGACCACATTAGTGTAGATGTATATACTCTTTGTCTCCCCCTTCTATGAATGGAATCAATATTTGATTCTAGTTTACAACTCTGAGGTAGTGTGCATTTAATACCTTATCAGGAATTTCATTTAGAAACTTCAGGCCGTGCGGCGAGTACGGTGACTGAGTCAAGACCCAGGGGCTTATTTTCGCAACCTCAGATATTAATCAGCTATAGATTAGTGTAAACATCTAAGTTGTACAGAAGATCTGCCACAACCCAAATAACTTGTTGATATCATTTCTAACTGTGCAAAGCTGATTGACTTCTATGAGATTTCACAGACGACATCAGTTCCGTTTAAGACTCTAGGTATATGTTGCTGACGTCAACCAGTAGCAACGTTAAGTCAAGGACTTACTACTAACTATCTTTGCACACCTAATAAATTCAGAAATTTTGTGAAAAACAAAATCTTTGGGCTTAAATGAAAAATACGCAGTATATTTATGGTCAGTCAATTTTTTTTATATGACAATTCATAAGTGACTTATGTATTAACCAAACTTATATTCAGAATGGGTTGCTAGATTGTTCAGTATGATATTCAACTATGATATTCAAACAATAGACTGACAGAACAAGCCAATCAATAATTAAAGCTCTCTCTGCCAATAAATACTATCCATTGAGTTTCTATTGAGATCACTAAATGAGGAGAAGTTGTCTGACATTAATTGGTTTCACAGACTAATCCATGGTGACTAACTATTGGACCATTAAACCTCGTAGTTACATTACAAATTCCACTACCACCATTGATCGTATCTTTGTGGTCTCATTTTTTATAAATGTAACCGCAAAACATATAGGTCTAAAAATAGAAATATTAGTGACCTAGGTGACTATTAAATATTGTGACTGGAGATTTGACAATATGAGAATTTATGTGTTCACTATGGACATCATGATGAATTCAGTAATAGTATTAGTGAATATACCGTTAGTGGGATAACCGAAAAAACATGACAAAATAATACACATCAATGTGCTAACATGATCGCCTATTAAGCAAAGATGGATGGTGGCTAGCAGTGGAATCCAGTTTGACGCGCGTTTCATCCTGTTTGGGAGTCATCAGCTGGATGTACCTGTCTCCCAGAGTTGATGCTCATTCCGGGACTTGAATCCGGTACCATTCGCTTCAAACGCAGGAAGTGGATAGGATACACATTGAGGAAAGCACACAACTGTATCACATGATAAGCCCTCACATGGAATCCTCAATGCCGAAGGAGGAGAAGAGGAAGACTACAGAACACATTATGCCGAGAAATGGAGACAAATATGAGAAAAATGAACGAAAATTGGATAGAACTAGAAAGGAAGGCCGAGAACTGAGTGAATTGAGAATGCTGGTCAGCGGTCTATACTCCATTGGGAGTAACCGGCATAACACACTTTACTCCTAGACTTACCTTTTTTCTTCTGTATAAATAAAATATCGTAAAACTATTGGTATGATTGAATTAGATTCACATTGAATTGGTGCCCAAATGGGTGAAAATTCTCCATATTTATAATCATTAAACCGTATAGTCTCATTATTATTATCAAATAATTCTACATTCAATACAAATTGACTACATATAGAATTACGATCTGAGGAATCATCAGTACTACTACTAATACTACTATTGGTAGTAGTAGTATGATTATTGACATAAGCCATTAATATCCTATTGAAACAACAATAACCAATACCAATTAAATTGGATTTTTGATCATAATCATCATTCATAGTGATGAAATTATTGAATAATTTCATATTATAAAATTCAACTGGTTGATTTAATTGTAATAAATGAAATAAATAGACTTCTAATTGTTTCCTGGTATCATGATTGTTGGGGTTGTGGTTGACGTGGTAGTGATTGTTGCTATGCCAACGATTGAAATTTCTCATAATCTGTATAGATCTATATATATCATGCAAGAAATTTTGTGTTAAAGAGTTTTGTGTGGTTAAATGATGAAATATTGGATAAAATGTTTCATTTAAATTAATCATTGTTGATGATCCTGATCCTTCTGCTGATGATGCTGACGACGCTCCTGTTCCCGCTCCTGCTGCTGATGGAATATCATTATAATGAGTAGTAGTAGCAGTAGTAGTAGTAGTATTATAAGTAGTATATAATAAATATTGTAATTGACGTGAATGAATTGTACATAGATTGAAATCATTTGTTGTTGTGGCATGAATCAAATTGACTAATTTCCGTGAAATTTTTTCTTCTTTCATCAATAAATGACCATTGGATAAATCCATTAACATAATCATACACCAAATCATTATAATAGATAGAATGATCCTAATCAAATCGGATCTTTTATGAAAATGTTGGATCATACTCACTTTGTTTTTTTTTCAATTCGATGATGGAACCATTTAAGAAAAGAAACAAAGTTACATTCACCAACCCCGCCCCCCTCAAAAAGAAAGAAAAAAAAGAAAAGAAAATGAAGAAAAAGAAAAGATCTATTTACATCTATGTAGAGACAAGAATAATACTGATGATGATGATGAGGAGGAGGAGGATATTGTCGATAGTTTATCAGTTATAATGTGTTATATCTATCCATTTTGATGTAGAACATTCTATATAGATATAGGGATATATGTATCCTAATAATACTGGGTTTACTGTTTTGTTTATAAACATTATGCCTAAATATAGATATAGATCTGGTAAATAGAACCTATAATAGTTGACTCTATATGTACATCTAATAAAAGCCTATGCTTGTATTTCCCACAGATATATAGATCGATGGATATATATATGTGGATCTGTAACGGACTGACATACCTTACGGTTGTACATACCTAAGAGTGTTCATCATCTGAGGGTCAACTACAATTTAGATCTGATTTGTTTTGGCATAGTTTTAATGATTGGTCGAAGAGTTAAAATCTATCTTCCTAAATTGATGATTGGATATAGTTTATGTATAAAATGATAGTCAAATTAACGAATAGATTTTATTGGTAAATATAATCGGCTAATCAATTTGATTGAAAATTCTTTGACGACAGAGGGTTTATAAGATAGTGGAGAAGATTTGTAACTCACTATTAACTTATGGTTGTTATTCCTTATGGAGGAGCATAGGACGCCTAATAGTACTTTCCATCAAACGCTATCCTAGACAATCCTTTTCAAGTCTTCTTCCAATTCTCGATGTACTGTGTTCTTCGGTCTCCCTTATTTTTGTTTCCCTTCAGGGTTCCAAGTTAGCGCTTGCCACGTGATGTAGTTTGGTGATTTGAGTAATGTATGTCCTATCCATTTCCATCGTCGTTTCCTAATTTCCTACTCAGCTGGAAGCAGATTTGTTGGTGTTGATATCCAACAATTATTTAGAAATACTTGTACCTTCTTGATGATGGTTATAGTAGCTGTCCAATTTTCAGCTCTGTACAGTAGCACTGTTTTGACGTTCGTATTGAAGATTCTGATTTTGTAGCTCAGGTGGATGATTATGGTGGAGTTTTGTTCTCTGAGCTGAATGTTTATCGTTCTTCTGAACGATGAAAGCTCCACGATCAAACTATCCAGCTCAGAGAACAAACCTCCAGACCACTGGTTGCACTATCGACTCGAAGACAATCGTGGATGGTCGCGCAATATCTCAAATTGGTCCAAGTTAGACATTAATACCGTCGGATTCCGTATCAGTAGTCTGTACAGTCAGCAGTACGACTTCGCCTTCGGACCTTGGGTTTGTTGCTTTTAGTCTCACCGCTCTTCAACCGACCTGTCGTACATAGTAGGACCTTGAGGAACGGTTATTCAAGCCAGTATAGCTCGGGTTTTCAGTTCAGAACACCAATAAAAGCTTTCATTATGTGAATCATTTATTTCAATCATACTTGGTCTATAAACCAGCCAAACACACCGCCGCATCACACTATGCAATAGGAAATAACATTTATACAGTGTGAAGTCAAGATGTGGCTGTGGAAGTGATTGTGGTGAGACTGTAATCAATAAACTGAGCATAACTTAAGAACAGTCAATCATATCATAATAGTCTATAGATCACAATGAAGCTTATAATAAGAGGAATATGAATATACACAATCTAATTACTGAATAGTTATACAGTAAGTATATATGTATAGCATTAGTCCATTTATAGTTGACAGAAGTTACCCATAGTTTAATCTTCATTAGAATATAACAATCTTCGTATTTTGTCTTCTGCTATAATCATGTACGTATAAACTGAAACTGACATCTAATAATCCATACATATTAGCTTATTCACAGAAGTTGAAGATACTCAATAAAGTAATAATACTAATAATCAATCAAAATGCTTTTATCATACAATAACTGTATGGAGCAATAATTTGAAATGACTATATTTTAAGATCCTCAATGATTTATGCCAATATTTGACTACTTACCCCTGTTACTCCTCATGAAGGAGCGAGGATAGGCCGCCAACCAACACTCTCCATTCAACTATGTTCTAGTCAACCCTCTCCAACCCTTTCCAGTTGTTATACGTCCTTTTCATATCTTCATTTGACTAGGAATTAAAAATAATAAAAAGAAGAGAAAATTCAATCGATTTATTTTACAAACTATTTGTTAATTTTAGAAAATTTAGGTAATATATTTTTACAATGATGGCGAAGCGGTCGCATTCCAATAAGGACATTGGGCTGCTTATAGTGGTCGAACTTTGTCAAGAAGGTACAAGTATTTATAAATGGTTGGTTGCATTTCGCAAGTTAATCGGCATTTGAAACAGATTATCTAAATGAAATAATGTTAGTCATATATTCTTATTGTTTAACTATTCAGTAATTAAATTGTGTATATTCATATTCCTCTTATTATAAGATTCATTTTCATCTATAGATTATTATCATACGATTAACTGTTCTTCTTTAGTTACGTTCATTTTATTGGTTACTTGT